TCCTTATTGAGTACATTTATGTCAACTACACCAGGAAGTCTCGCTCAGCTTCCGCATAAATATTTCTTATCCACTATATGTTGTCGAGCCGAACGATCGGCCGTACGTCTCTACTGATGACTTGTAGTCGTAAGCATTAATCTGCGACGACCAAATTTCGTCTTATGGTTGAGACAAGCCGCGTTGAATATAGTGATCCGAAATCAATTGGTTGGAACCAGATTTGAGCCTCATGTCGATTAATTGTCGAGAGTCGTTCTGAGATATCCGATGATAGTAAGGAAATTCGAGACTCTATAGAAGTTGGACAGCCTCTCTCGAGCAGGCTTGCCTCGCTTGAGCTTGATTTACGTTCCTCGACCCGTAATTTCGGAGATGATTGAACACGAGGGAACTCATCAAAGAATCCGACCGGGCCCAACGAGTCAGGGTAGCTAGAGTTTATACAGGATCTATGGATAGATATATTACAAGGACACTAACCGCTGGTGAGATGGACGCAGCCTTCTAACCCATGCCTGTCACGAGAGTCACTTAAATCTTTGAAATCCACGACATCTCGAGATCATAACACAGGGCTTAAGTTCTAGAGGGACCATAGGCGATTGCGCTACGACTGTAGTAAAGAAGCTCACACAAAAATGACTTGCCTTCAATCAGTTTCGCACCGACCGCCTGAGAGAATGCTTTCAAGAGATCCGTGCGAGGATAGTCCGCAACATTCGAGTCTGAGGAGCTTGATCGGAACAATTTATAAAGAGGGACATATTGATGTAAGTCTGCAGCCCTCCCTCGGGCTGACGGCGAGGACACTCGAGATTGATCCGCGAAAAGCCATCTCGGAATACTATTTCGAGATCAATATATGCATGAAATGATGACACCGCATTCCGCAGCGCTTCTATGATATCCACTAATTACAAAATGGCAGTGAAAGAGCGAGAACTTTGGATAACGTCAAGTGACACGTGTTTTTTTCCTGATTCTGGGACGAAGGTCTCGTCTGGGGAAGAGAAAATCTTCCAGGAGAGCATCGCCTAGGAGCAAAGGAGCATTGAGCTTTCCTAAGTCTCATCCTTTCAAATTGGATTTCATGAAGAGATTTCGAGAGGAATTCCACACGGTCACAAGAGTTAAGACTGCTTTGCATGGGAGCACCATTTGAACCCGAACCGGCTTAAGTAATTGAGAGGTTTCCCCACGGTACATGAGTTTTACGTCTCTTCCGAGACATCTCTTGGATTTTTGAGAAGATAGACCTTGCACTTCTCGCCGATGGGATCTTCCGACGCGCTCGAGCAGGAGAGGACTCCATAGCGGGGGAAAATGACTGACGATGTACGCGCAAAATTTGTTCATTTGAATTCGTATGGGATTCGATAGAGTTGGCTGGGAGTGTGGGCCGATGAATTGAGCACAAGGATTCTGCCTCAATAGCAAGGCTGTGAGATCGGGTTCCGTTTCCACTCCATCAGTCTACGACTTGAGTAAAATTTCACAGCGTTTGTAAGTTAGGTGATGATCCCTCTCGAAGTTTAGGTACGGAGAAATCCCCGAGTTATATCTCTCCAAGATTCGAATTTCTCCACTAAATCACAATCAGAAGTCACTGCGTGACAAGAGACAAGGAACGCCTCCTTTTGGCGAGAAGAATCCGCCGAATCGTTTATGTATAGGTTAAGAGGTTCTTCCCATGAGCCGCCTCGATCAGGAAAGTTTCCAGAATCTCGGGACTCTTCGCTTTTCGATGGGGTGTGATCAGAAATTTGTTCGTCGCTTCTTTCCGGGCGGCAGAGCGATCAATCACATAAGCCATGAGAATCTGATGTAGGCTCGTCAAGTGAGGATCTCTCCGCTCGAATATTATTATTGGTGCTTTCTTCCACTCAACAAAGACCAACGTTCGAGTTCTCACCCTAGTGATCATTCCCGCAATAAACATCGGAATTGATTTCGGCAACATAGAAGGAGTTTTGAGAGCTCATATTGCAAATCGACGGAGAATCCTGAATCACCGTCTTGAAAACTTCTCTCGAAAGTTCCCGATGCCCATCATCGGCGCTCCAGGACAAGGATGCCCAGAGACGCAACGATGACGAGCGAAGGGAAATAGGTGAAGACAGAGGTGAGACACTTATCGGTGGTTTTCAAATATTAAAATGTATGTAGCCGACGCTATCCTATATCCACAGTCGCGTGGCTCTCTGATCCTCAAATCCCGTGGGACATCTTCCGGACGATGTCATGCGGGTCCCTTATCTCCTCTTTTCTGTTCTCGCTCTCCCTTAAACGTCCGAACTCTCGTAACCGATCGAGTCCTGATTTTGAATCGTCGGTCGAATCATCGGCGGTGGCGGCAGCGCTCCAAGGATGGGGTCGATCCGATCTTCGGGAGGACTCGGGCTGCCGGGAGTTTCTGCTGGGGAACGATCAATCGACTTGATTTCGGGCTGGCCCTCGAGCTCCATCCGCGACAGAGGTCCTGTGTTGAAGGATGAAGGCGGTCCGATGGTCATGGGACTCATTGCACTCATTGGGCTCATACTGGGCAGCGTCGCCGCCGGGATGGGAGGTCCCGCGGGCGCCGGAGACGGTGTGCGCGGGGCAGATGGAGGTTTAGTTGGTGGAACAATCGGCATCTGAACGGGAGACATGACTCTTTTGTTGAATGGCAATTGTTGGATCGGCTTGCCGACGGGGGCAGTCATCTGTGTTGGTGCCATGGCGGGCTGCATTTTCAACATGGCGGACTGGCCCGATGAGGGTGACTGGACGATGTCCCTGTAAGAGATCGAGGTGAGCAACTCGCCGTAGAGAGCATCGAGACATTACCCAAACACGTCATTGAACTCGTCTTCCGGCTCGGCATCGAATGTTCCAATAATTCAGAATAATCCTGAACTCTGGGCCGGAACTCCGTCGGGCCATTGATGTGACCGAGGCTCGGATGCCGTTTTATTTTAGAGTGAAGACTTTCGTTCGATGACATGCATTTGGTGGTTACTGCTCGAAAACGGATTTCTCCTGCGCATGGGGGTCATTCCGCTGCTCTCGAAGTGCCAAGCAAAAATGCTGACAAATGATCGACAGAGCAGCCAGGAAGGATCCCCAACGACTAGTCTACTTTTGACATAACAAAGTGAACCGGTGAGAACCAGAGAGAAGGTCGACGGAAGGCAAGCAGAACAGAAGAGGGATTGCGGTATCGCAGTCAGTGGCGATACCCGACGTTAGCAGCAGCAGCAGCAGCAGCAGCGGAAGCAGCAGCGAGAGCGAGAATTTCTTCTTCTCCTTCCATAGCAACTACATCCCAGCAGTGTGCTTACCTGGCCGCAGATTCTACGAAGAAAGCATCCGAAAATTGATCAATCAAATTTATCTCGTCAACCATCGACTCTGAGGCCGCCGGCGTCGAGCTCAACTGATGCAAAAAGCACGACCACGTCAGGCGTGAGATGAGCGAACGAAAGCGTGTATCTCATGAGATTTTTCTCTCGAGATTTTTTTTTCGGCCGAAAAAAACACCGAATGATGCTTTGATGAGTTCTCTGCCGTCAAGGGCATCGATAGTGACCCCGATGGGTGCAAGGTGAGGATGATTCGATGAGTTAGAGATAGAATGGATGATTCAGATCGCGATGAACGGAAATTGATGAATACGCGCACGGATAAGGGTTTTTGTGTCCTTATCCGTGGAAATATCGCAGGGTGAACAGGTCAACGACTCAACCGAAGAATACAGACAGTCGCAGCTTCAGATGCGCGGAAGAGTTTAGGCAGACACACAAACAAAAACAAAAGAGTGACCTTCTCCCTGGGTCGTGTGACTATTCGCTGTACGTGATCTGTTCCATGAGCAGATCATGAATGAAGAATATCGGGTAGAGATCAGCTGTGCATGATGTCGGACGAGCTTCCCGCACGGGACGGATTTCGTGAATGACTCCCCGCAGCACAGTTTTCGAAAAGAGCCGGCTCGCTGCTCTTAGATCCACTCCCGTACCTAATCATAGATCATTTCCCCTGGAACGGATGATTACAAGGGAATAACAGGGAATAGCGGATTGAAGGCCGTCACTACGGACATTTCATCCGTAGATATGACTGCCCCCAAGGTGCGATCCCGTATCCCCTCAATATCGAGTGCGATCTCGTCGTCCGGACAGGGTATCCGGAGACGGTTTCTGGAGGGGATTCGTTATTCACCGAGAAGCAGCCGACACGGAGACGGAGGAGTTGCGCAGGTTTTTGTTGGTGTGTTCAAGGAAAGTGAGGACAGAGGTATAGAGTGACTTTTTGCAATGTGTCGCGAGGGCACTTGATGGTGAGTCAGTCAAATCGGTCAGTTGTGAAGCAGTGTTAGCCGTCTACGGACGGCACTTGACACACTAGTGTCGATGACGAAACTCACATAAGGGAGCAACTGTAGATGGATACGACTCGGGTGTCCGACGATGAAGAGGTGCCTTTACTGGTATAATTGATACGGGGCAGTGCTACTGCTCCAGTGGGACGTAAGGGACCACTTGTTAGTTAGCTTTGACAGTCAATCGAACGGCGAGTGAATCAGTTATTGCCCAATTTAAATAATTGATCAACCAGACTGATATACAGTCGATCAACAGATGTCCTATCCCTCGGGACGTTATAAGATATGCTCCCGTCTGTCAACAGCCCGGCTCAGAGAACCTGCGAGGATCGCTACTTCAGATCATGGGTTTAGTGATTTCGTGTCATAGGACCGTGATCGAGTGTGGGAACAGGGAAGACAGTCGAGGGTAAGAGTCGAGTCCGAATCCATATTAGATTTGCAACTATGTAGCGCGAGCTCCCATAACAGATCAACGAGCTCACACACCATGATGTGTTCGGCAATTCGGGACGGTACGTGAACGAGAGCTCATCATCTCGTCCGCTCCGTGATAGAAGTCAGATTTCTCTTGGGTCTAGACCCAGTGAACTTTTGTCTTCTACGTAAATATTCACGACTAGACGCTGACCTGGAATCCGTATCGGTGAAGGGCTCCACGTCGGCGATGGGGGGCAACTCGGTCCTTTTGAAGCCTCCATCGTCGGCCGGATACTCCTCATCAATCTTCATCTCGCGCGGAATTCCTGTGGGAACGACTCTAATTATATCCCTGCACAGAAATCCTCCGCTCGGGAACGGACTCACGGCGGTGCCGCTCAGTGAAACGCTGCCAGCGCTAGCATTCAAGTTCTCTGAGTGAGAGAAACGCACAATCATATCATTCTCGTAAAACGTTTGGGACCTCCCTTGTAGGAGCGTGATCAAAATTCGGACTCAATATGGAGGCAGAGAGAAGGGGGGAGCAGTCGAGAAAGTTTCTAGGTATTTCCACATTGAATTCCTGAAGGTCCGTACCTCTCTTCTTCAGCGTGGCGTCATCGCGTTTCGTCGACGCTCCATCATCGATTTGCGAGTTTCCTATTGGCGCCTCATGGGCCGTGAGCTGTTGCGTTTCGACCTCTTCAGCCTTGTCTTTTTTAGACTTCTTGTTTTTCTTAGCCTCTCGAGCGGCTCTCCTTTCGGCAATTTCTTCGGGTGATCGGATTTTCTTCGGTTTTTTGCAATAGACCTCGCAGATCGTGATGAAAAGCGCAATCAGCAATCCTAGTCCTAAGATGAAGAACCATCCCAAAACTCGGCGGACGCCTAGTGGTCGAGCAACTTCGGATTTCTTCCGACCCTGAAAGATGGGGAAGCAACTCAGACTCGAGAACCACAGGATCGAGCGACGTAGGGGACTCGACCTAACCCGTATGCTTCCCCGTCATTATACAGGATGGATATGGATATCGATTTGAGGAGCTCCGCTCGGTGCCCCGAGAGTCGGCTTGTAGGACGAGCAGACGACTGCTGCTTCTCGTCGGCGGCTCTGATCGCGGAATCGTCCGCGGCCCGCTGGGTGGGCACGTGTCGATCCCATATCGACAAAGCGATCAGAATCCACTTCTGATCCGGGTTTTGTGGGATTGCACAGTGTCCAAAGATTGCCCTCACCAGAGGTTCACCTCGGCGAGATGAAAACCTAGGAGGGAAGGGAGCCTCGACGAATGGAGAGAAACTTACGGAAAGAAAACTAGGAGCGATGACCGGTGTCTCACTGGGACAGTCTAGGGCTTGTTCCCCGAACCATTTACTCTCCAGGTGCTCGAGGAATCCCTCGTCCCGCAGAGAGGTAATGATCTCATCGATTTTCCTTCGCAGAGCGAAATGCTTCGAAGTTGCGATGGCGTACTGCGAACGTCGCAAATCTGTACCGACCTGCAAGTCCCAACGGACAGTCGTGAGCGTATAGGCCGATAAAAGCTGCTGAGCCGCCCGATGCGGGCTTGTTTGCCCGGGACGTTTCCTGTAACGGCAATGCGGGCGAAAGGGCTGACCTGGATGGTGTCGCAAGGTTCTCTCGCTGATGTGTATCTCACGAGATTGCTATCTGCGAACACGATGAATCGCGAGTTGTTGCGGATACGATCGATTGCCTGGAAAAAAAACGTTGATATTTTAATTCTGTGGTCCGTTCCTTACAGTCCTCCGGGCACTCTTTCTTCCGAGATTTTTTGATCTCTTTCTCCTAACTGAGCGTTCTTCGTACAGGATAGTGAATCCATAACTCAGAGACTTCGCTGGATGTCGAACAGAGGGAAAGAGAATGTCTGACAAAACGAACCTTTGAATAACTTCCGATGACGCTGTCGTTGAAGGAGAGCATGCGCTTGTACATTTCTTTGTATTCTTCGTCGTCCGTATTCTGCGAGGAAAAAATCGTCAATTCTTCTTCGTCTCTCCGCCTACATCCCGACGACTATTAAATCAGACGGCGGATAGACGAATTGTACGGAGAATTATGTAAGGATACCTCCCCTTTGTATCATAGTCATATATCATCTTCTACATATTTTGTTATAAACTATATATCGCCTCATATCTAGGTAAAGTGAATTAGAAATAAGGAATCGGCCGGCCTGAAAACTGAGTTCCGTTCCTTGAGATCGCTCTATGGACTCGTGCTTGATTTCAATCTATGAGGCACTCACCCTGAAGAAATCTTCGCTGACAGAGCCCCGCACCAGACCGTATTCAATTTCGTTCTGATACAGGAGCTCCCGTGTGCACTTGGGTAGATTCTCTCCAGTGGGCGAAAAAGGTTCATTGATCCACAATTGGGCTGTGTAGATTGAAAGGAAGCAGAAGATGAAAAGCCACCAAGAACATCCGATGACTCGTGAACCCAAGGACCTTGAAGAAAACAGGAACTTAGAACTCTGCTCGTCGCTTTTCCCTTTCTGACCTCCGATGGACCGGATCCATCGGAGATTTCCTGGAATCTATCCCAGTAAATCGGCGATGGAGAATCATGATCCGGGAGAAAGACGAAATATCCTGCGACTCACTTGGGACGGCAATTATTGCATTCTTCCGACATGAACATCCCGAACGCGTACCAGACCGAGTTATAGAAATGTCTGCATGGTGTTGGCGGGTCGACCGGAGGAGTGGCGACAGCCAGATTTATCAAGTTGATTATCAGAAGAATCGTAGCAACCACCAAGTACGCCCCGAGGAAGCACAGCCAGATCTTGTAGTCCAGTGGTCGAAGGAAGGCGAACGGAGTCCTGATGTTGAAGAGGTCATCGGCGCCGTTATGTGCGATCGCCGCGATTCCGGAACTCATGAAGGGCTGGCTGAAGTGAACGACTTTCGCTCGTTCGGTCGTCACGGTGAGAGGTGCGATAGCGATATCGGCGTCCTTGCGGAGCACCTCTCCGATGAGCCCGTTCCACCCGGAGGCCTGTTTGGGATCTTTGTAGCCGAATTTGCCGTCTTTCACGAAGTGAATATCGAATTGCGGTCTACCGGGAATGTCACGCATGACACGTTCGATGAGGTCCTTGATGTACCCGTCCACGTTGTCGATGTGGGGTCGGGTGTCGTTTTCATCTTTGAAGAACAAAAAGGGGCGTTCCTGAGGAGAGAAGTCCGCTGTCAGACGCGAGGTCGGTTTTATTCTCCACCTCCCCCCCCCCGCATGATCCACCAGGATATTTGAATATTCCATTCTGGGCGGAATGCCACGATGAGAACCGGGCGGAAGTTTCTCCTCCCCGAATTTCTCGTATCAGGGCGAGATATTCCATTGGATGGAGGGATCGCCGAGATGAATTTGCCCATAGCTTCGACAGCGCGATAGGAGTCATCGGATAGGACAGCTTTCAACGGCTTTGTTTTCCGGGGAAAAACTTGAGGGATTTCCCGGACTCACAATGATTGTTGTGATGATGATGTTCTTGTTCACGTCCTGCTTGACTCGGGAGCGTCTTGCTTGTCGTTCGTGTTCGTTGAGAAATCGCAATCCCTCACGATCACTCCATGAACCCACCTGGAAAAATTCAGAGCGTGTTAACGACATGGCGAAATCGACCGAGTCGAAATCGCTTCTGCGGAGACGAAGTCATCCGGGCACCGACATGTTTACGAGAAAATGAATATTTGTTCGGAGAGCTCCGCGACACAAACCTTCTCTGCCTCTGAATTCGAGGTAAGCTCCACAACGCTGAGCTGGTACTCGGTCCGCCTGCCTCGTTCGTTGAATCTCACCTGACCGGTGCTACCCTTGAAGCGGATCTGTAAACGAGGACTATGAATATCGAATGGCGGTTTACGATGTCGGGAACGAGACAAGTCCCGGACAGCTGCGGGGTTGGCGGCGGGGTGTCAATGAGCAACAAACCTACCTTTCGCATGAGCTCGACGATCGTCCGCCCTTGCGCATAGGGTTCCAGGGGAGTTCGATAGCAGGAGACCGAGGCTTGGATCTGAGAGAGCTCTTTGAAGATTTCTCCAGCGACGACCGGTTGCTCCCTGCTGATGGCTTGGACCGTTTCTGCGAGAAGTTGGCCGGCGTCCATAAGGAACGCCTCCTCTTCCTGGGGAGTTCGTAGATGGACTTGAGAAACGGATTTCCATACGAGAAGAAGAATGAAGATGCTGAAAGAGCTTTGCAGACGGTGAGCCTTGCGTGTGTCCGGGCGGAAAAGCCGCGGGTTCGTCTCGTGAGAGCATTCCGTGTGTACGCGCAGTGCGGTGCATCGAAATTGGCCGTTCAAAGGTGATTTTCAGTGCCGTTGGACAACGAGAAGGCTTACCTCCATATTATCAAACACTGATTCTTGGAAACGTCTGTAATCAGCTGCGAAAAACCTTTCGTCCGAGTCACCTGAGTAGCTGATTTGCTAAAAAATTCGAGGCGATTCTACACTTAGCAATCATCGCGATTAAGATCTGTGTTCCCTTCAGATCTTAACCCATCACTAGAGGTCCTGGCGACCTTCGAATGATTTCCTCAGAGACTCCCGCATGTGAGAAGGATTCCCCGGGTCGCGATCGGAGAACGATGCCCCACAAGGGCGGTCGCTGGGAGATTCTGTCGGAGGTGAGCGCGAAAGAGCTGGGACTCCTCCCAAGTATGACTCCGATACGTAATTTTTTTTAAGGTCGGCAGCGGGTGTTTGCTAAGCATGGAAGTGTGATCACGTGTTGGAAGCCGCGCTTGTGGGTGCGTGTACAAAGTTTGGAATTGTCTTTGAGCAATCAATTCGGTAGGGTATGCCCATCAGAATATCTCTCTTGATACCTAATTTTGAAGAGTCGATGAAGGTTCCTGATTACTCACGTTAACGTTCTCATCTTCAGGGTTCTTCGGGGTCGACACACCGCCCCTCATGCTCTTCATGTTTTTGAACTCGATTTCGTCGATGATTTGGAAACTCGCCACCGTGGACTGATCGAACATCCTGACGTCGGACCAGAACTGTTTCACAGTCTGACAGAGGGAGAGAATTCATCGATCAATTCATGGATTCTTGAAATCATTCCCCGGCGACAAGAGAGAATATTCTTGCTCCCCTTGAGCGAGAGTGACGTATATTCTGCTTTTGATTGGCTCGAACTTACGAATCTTGGAACGATGAAATGGGAATACGCTCGTTTCTTACGATACGCCAGTTCCACCACTCGTTTGGCCATTTTGACATCCATCGCCAAAATAAAATGTTTCTCTACGTCCCATGCCGCGTTCTCCACTTCCTGGAGGTAATTCAAGGCGGACGAGTTCGAAGTGACTTGGTGGAGTCCCTTGACTTCGACTTCAGCGTCCCTTGGCAGTTCGGCGAGGATGTGTTCGAGTTCGTCGAGTCCTACCGATAGATTGATGTTTACACACGTGGCTAGTGATTGATTAAGATAGTAAATTCGGGGAAATCCCAGAATCCCCCCCCCCGTCTGAATCGCAAGTTCCGAAGTCCGATAATTCTCAGTGGCACAGGTTTGATTCACGAGCCGGGACATGTGCTCCCATCGCTCTGAAACGCTCACCTTCGGGCTTGTCGTAAATGAAGTAAATGTCTCTCCATTTATTGCTGTGGATGAGATCGGCGGTCGCTTTGGCAGTCGATGGAGCTAGCACGATTGTAAATTCTTTCTCATCCGATTCGGCAGCCCGACTGCGAAACGCCGAATCAACGACGTCGGGAGCTGTGTTGATGTATGGCAAATTAAGGCTTTTCGAGAGGCTGTTCAAAGTTTCGTGCACAGTCCCGCTGCACGACGAAATAACAGCCGACACTCCCTGGCCTATCTGACTGCAAGCTGAAAGGAAGAAGACGAAAAAATCAGTATCGGTCCGGAGAAGGGAAATATGCCGAGCTAGCGCAGGGAATTCATCTCGAGCCCTGCCTGAATCGCTAAAACGCTAGAGGTAGATCCGACGAGGGAATCTCCAAGATAGAGCTGGATACCCTAAGCCGGTCAGGAACAATTTTTTTCCGATTCATTTTGACTGCGGGGGCGTTCTTGACTTTCCACGCGGAGCTGAGTTGAACAGTCTCAAAGACTAGACTTCAGCAATGGAAGGAGAGGGGTAGCGGCAGCAATTAGAGCCGCCTGATCTGATGCGGGAGGGATAAGGAACTCCGGCGACACCCTCTCCGGAGCCCTAGGTCGCACGCGGTGCTCCGCGGGAGAAACTCCCTAACCCCTATCCCGTTGAAGTCTCTGTCAGAAGTACTTGACTTGGCGTAGATGAGGATCTAACTCGCGAATCTGATGTCCTGAATTCCGTGCGCTGAACTCTAGGAAGAATCAACGTGAGGCCGTTGTTCCGGTTTTCATACGACTTCGTAGTTTTCACTCCGATACGCGATCGTGTCCGAGGAAATCTCCTGATTTGGAGAACACATTAAGGCACTGAGAGTGAACTCATCGTGATATCATTATAATGCAGCTTCGACGCACCGCGAGCATGTCGTCGATCGGAAAGATCCTGGAATGAGGCTCCAGGTAGGATTTATCGAGTCTTCATTTCCATTCCAGGATCTGAACCCGAGAACTCGTCTCGATTTCGGGGATAGGTCGCCTGATGATTTTTATTCCGATCGCCCCTGTCTGCGGCGCCGACGGTGTCGGACCTTCGTCTGACCCGGCCAGCTAATGCTGCTTCTTCCCGATTCGTGGGGCAAGTTCATCGAAAGTCGACCTGCTCGTGATCGAGAGGCGGGCGCAGGATGATTAATGTGAAGACTTACGTCCGCGATAAGGGCTCTATTCTCGCCGGGAGAGGTAACAATATTCATCGTGATGGGCCAACACCGCAAGACGCGCTGCAAACACAACCGCGGTGTACGTGTTCCGCCTGATCGAACGACTCAGTGTTTGCCTCACTCGACGGGGCAATAAGCCTCGACCATCCATTGCGTATTCTCGTCGTTCCCTCCTCCCGTTCTTCTCTTCCCCGTCTCAACATCCCAACGTTTTCTCCGCCGACCGCTGCGCCGACTTTGCAAACGCCCATCTCTGGATACGTTGATTTCCCCCGATGGTCTGGAGTGTGTCATATCATCATCTGTTCCCTGTCATTGATTACTCCATATGCGTACTGTCGTATCGCGGGATGAAGTCGTTTCGCATCACGGCAGCTTCAACTGGAATAATTCGAGTGGAGACATGGCCCGAAAACACTTCGATAGGAACACATAGAATCACTCCACCCCACCGTCATTCGGTCGCCGCTGATTGATGGGAGGGTGAGCGATACACAGAAGACCGGACAGCCGCCTTTGCGAGAACGCTAAGGATACCGGCGAGCTGGTTCCCTCAACCGCGGGCCGTATTGCGTGCTCAATATCATCATCGTTCTCGAATAAATAGATATCCGATAGCTGGCCGGGGTCGGTGCGCTTGTTGCGTTGCGATTAGAGCCGCCGTCGATTCCATTCGAGGTCCTCTGTGGCGGACACGGCTTTACGCTCCATCACTCGGTTTTCAGAACATTGCCGATTGAGAGCGCCCCCCCCCCTTTGCTCCATTATTCTTCTCCTCCTTGTTCCCGTCGCTCCTCAATCTTTTATGTTGCTCCTAACAATTGGAGAAATCCTGAAATCTCTGATCTTTCGCAAGCCGTCCCGAGAAGAGGAACTCTGACGATCCTTTGTCCCATTCACTCAGTCAGTCTCACGGGAAGGCTCGCCAGACGGCGCAGGAGACGAAATCAACATCTGTCTAACCGAACTTTTTCTCCCCCACTCATTTTCCTTGAACAGCCGAAGGCAGCTGTTTCGCTGATGAGATCTGAGGCTCCCGAGGATCCGTTGAAAAAATTTATATCGAAGGTACATACGTCGGTACGATCTTCTTTTGGAGCTTTCTATGCGTTGCGTATGTCCGCGGTGAATTGTACCCCAGCTTTTTCTCCGCGGAAAGAGAAGCCTCCATTGCAATTACCGCCCAGTGAGTTGTCGATTATTCACGCACACACTCGGTGCAAACTCCAGGGAACAACATACGCTATCGCTTCAAGGCACGGAACTGAAACGCGGTCCATGCACGATATCGAAGAGCTGCACGCTCCGCTCATATCGTTACGGACAACTCCGCCGTACGCTCCGGAACGGACGCAGAAGTGAGAGGGCGAGCTTTCAATCTAGCACATCGCGTCTGTTCAGTCGGGGACGGGCTCTCCGAGGGATCTGCTGCGTATTCCAGCGGAACCGTGAAACAAAAGCAATCGCCCGCATGGGATCCAAAACGCTTGTCTCCGAACGGATATCGAGAGTTCGCAACTTTCACGCTTCATCCCAATATAGATTCCTCTATCGATCCCAGCGAAAGTTTTCGGAACGCGCCTGTTTCCCCGTGCATCGGGGGACAAACTGGAAATTTGCCGTGAAGCGAACACTATTTCCCCCAGGGAAGGACCCGCCGACAAGATTCGCGCGCCTTAGGTTGTTTATTCAGGACGGATGAAGTTTTGTACTCTTCCATCGCTCCTCTCGACCTTCCGATTCTCCTCCGTTCGAGTTGCTCCGAAACAGACAGAGAGGTTTTGCTCGGGGAACTCTCTCTTCCCGCACTTCTTCAGTGTTGAACAAGAGCGTCGCGGAGCCCGCGGCGAACAATTCGCGCTCCCTTATAGCACTGTGATTGACGCATGGGTCTGTAGTGATTCGGGGAGTTCACGTTAGAGCTGTCAACGTCCGCGATAGAGGGCAGATGGTCACGACTCCTGCCTCTACCCTCAACTCTGATTCGGGAGTCCGAGACATGCGCTCCACTTCCTCTTTCGGAGCGAAATCGCTTCAACGTCAATTTGCTGGAGAAGCGTTAGAAGGCGGAACGAAGGAAACGAATCGCTCCCACCGACTGACTGTGTGTGTCGTCGGAGTTCATGAGATCGGCGTTCGAGCTTCAGTCCACTCGAGGTGCGCAGCGGCGGTCCGCGCGAGCGGAGCCCTTCGAAAATCGGGAGCTAATTTGCCTGCATGAATAATGCCTGAGCACTCCCGTGGCGCCCCATCCGAGTACAGTGATCTTCCTTGATCTGCGATCCCAGTCTATCCGGGAACCAAGCTGGCTCAGAGGGACTGGACCTTAAGCTCAGTTGAAGCTCCATTTTCCACCCACAGCCAAGCTGTCAATCCGGGGCAGGTGGAGGCGAAAATAAACTATTGAACTCACCTGTGTTACTGATGGCGAACGTGGCGTTCGCTTCCACGTATGCAATTTCCGGATGCATACGATTCTGTGTCGGGAGATTCGAAGATCTCTCTTTGATGATTTCCTCGAGCAGTTCTTTCGTACGCGAGTGTCCAGCGCTCACCAGACCGCCTGCAAGAACGGGAACTCTACTTTGAATATTTCTTCTCTCGCAAAGTTTCAAGCGCCTTGGAACGCCTTCCGTTGACTCGGATGCTGTAGCCTCATACACTCTCGTAATGAACACGTGGTTGAAACGATCACAGGCGGCGAATATTCACCCTGGACGAACACGTCAGGGCCTCCCTATTGCGCTGGTTGTCTTCGTCAGTCTCGGAAACTCTCATTGCGAACTGCTTGCTCCGAACATTTGGGATCCGAGGGAAGTTGTTAATGGAGGTGGGCAGGATACGACGGAGATGAGCTCGGGAAGCGGAAAGAACCTCAGTGCGAGCTCATCGCGGCATCGATCAGCGGTGAGATGATGCATGATCTTGGATCTACATGGATGACAGGAAGAGCTCGACATCTAATCCCGATAGGACTGTTGCGCCCTGAATCTCCTCTAGAAGGCCTGTGCGGCTCGCTCAGGATATTCTTTGGATTTTCCAACTATCCTCGTTCCGAGGAAAAATTCGTGGAGTCTCGCAAGACGCTTCGCTAGGTCGAGAGTCGACTCAGTTCGGGGCAGGCTTCTCCAACAAGATGCGGAATCCGTGACCTGCGATGCCTCTGAATCCCGCAAGCTTGTGGAGACTAACTACTTCTGTTGGGTTCGCTGAGGGCGACCAAGATACCGAGAGATAAGAGCTTTTTCTCTGCCCGGATTCGGGGGCAAACGTCGCACTCGAGCAGGGAGCAGAGGCTTTCGCCCCGGAGCGTTTCTTTCTCCGTCATTTCCCAGCCGTGTAAGAGCATGCGATTCCGTTTTAGGAGATACATTCTTTCGGATGCAGTCGGTCTGTGTTCGTTTGTTTCAATTTGCAAGGCGAGACATATCACGCACACGTTTTTGTCCTCGAATGAACCACAATCGGATGCGTATTAGAAGAATGAGAGTCGGGAACGATTTTCTCTTTTTCCCCCGAAGTTAAACCGCCTCGAGCAATAAATAACAGAGGGTTGAGGCTCTCCTTCGCGAGCCCGACACGGATGTAGTTATTTGGAACTAGGAGGAGCTGGTTTCAGAATCACTCCGAGCGCTCGTGCATCCGGTAAGATTCATTATTGAATGTATGGGCTACGGACCTAAATGCGCCTGTATGCATTATATTCTAGGATTGCGGTTGTCATTGAAATTGGCTGTCAATCATCGGAATTTTCATGGCTACAATCAGAGCTGACAGCGATTTTTCTCCGGGAAACGCCTCACGACTAGGGAGGAGAGAACCGAGGGACTGGTCGGAGGCAAGCGAAAACTTGGAACTGCCGCCCAGTGGAGTTTGTGGTTGGAGGAAGGCACGCAGAATGCTCTCTCATAGAGTACCTCGTATGTCGTTCTTTCGAAAGTAAAGGATGAATGGCCGAACGTGGAGACCCGCATGGAGTGGGTGAAGCACAAAAAGAGTGTTCGGAGGAACGTGGAAAAATCTTCACCGAGCCTCGTGACACGTCCTCAGACATTCCGCTTCCTCGCCCAGCGCCCATTCCTTCGGTCGAATTTTGTTTACACCTCGGCTAGCGTTCCCCGACACTTCCCGTGTCGAACGTGGCCTCGTAGACTCGAATGTATGTTGGAGGGTCGGATGGCAGGCCGGCTGGGTGGCTCCACGTTGAGATGGGCAGGAAACCGTTCCTCGCAAACCCCGTTACGAATGACAGAGGCACCCTACCGGCGGCGCGGAAGGAATCACATCCCAGTATTCAACGCGCTTCACTGGAGGAACGGATTTCGGAGCCACGTACGAACATGGGTCTATGCTTGCCGGACCTGATGGGCATTCGTGGTTTCGACATGGCTGAACTCTCCGAAGACGTAGGGGTCAACGCCTTGCCATTGTCTGAGGGTTCCCATTGACAGCTATCAAGCGCAGATTCAAATTCTCGAGGATTTAGTTGACTCGATAGTTTTCCTTTCAAACATCGTGCGAACGAGGGGAAAATTCCTAGCGGTTAGGAGGATGACAAGATTAGGTCCGTTCGCGCATCTAGTGATCGAGCTTAATAGCCATATGACGTCATGTCGGCTTGAGATCGAACATGAGACCCGAGACTCGACTTTCCCGCGCAGGCACCCAGGAGGAGCAGGGAACAAGACACGGAATTCCCGAGAAAATACGTTCCGTAGGCACAACCTCCCCCATTCCTTTTGGCTCGTATGGAATTTCTACTCGTCGAAAAACGTACGATCCAGCTCAACCCTACGGTTCCCGATACATAATAAATTTCTTTTCCTCCTCGAATCATGCGATGCCAGACAGAAGTCATCGGGACGTCGGTGCCGGGATGCCGCCGATGCGATTTTTTCCGAGATTGAAAACTATTCTGCTCACAAACGGGATGTCGCCGGGAGTTATGACTTTAGCGATTAAGCGTCACGAAGCCGTTCTGGCTTTTCGGTGAAACACAGCGAGCACCGGTAGCTCGCAGCGCTCAGCGCTAAACTTCACAGAGCGTCGACACCTCCCCACCCATCCCGAGAGCTTGTTGACATGGAGACTGCAACATAACACACGAGAGAGTATTTAATGTCCCCCTCCCCAGCTCAACGGGCGGAGATAGGGACTGCGCTCGGAGGCTGTCGGGGAAGGGGGAGGACAAACTCTCGAAGCGACCGGAGTCCTGGTCACGCAGAACTCGAATGACACAGAGCAACACATGAATTCACTTCCTCCGATTGTAATTTAGTAACGAATGAACCACTGAGTCAGGCCCCTGCATTTTCACTCATTTTCGGACTTGTGACAGGGACTTTAATCCTCGGATACATCGATTCAAACGGTCACGATAGCCGGAGCATCATTCGATGGAGTATAAAATGAGATAAGCTGAACTTGCTGATGAACTTGATGCTCTGGTTCCTCGTCGACATAGGCTAATGCGGCCCTTATCGCAGAGCATCATTACCGTGATAACCCTGGCGCTTATCTCGAACATTAATGAGTTTATCAGACGGCAGACGACATCTCTCGTTTTCCGCGGAGGGAACACTGGCTCGGAGCGAAAGACTCTCATCAAGTTTTCCTTCTCGAAAATTGACCACCGAGCAATTCGAGGAGGGGAAAGGAAATTTCGTCCCTTACGGTCTGAATTGTCTGACGAATCTATCCAGGGCCTGTTTTTTCTCGTTTGGCAGATTCGGCCGTTTGCATGAGGCCTGACGACCGACGTTCACCAAAGGGAGGCTTCGAGCCGTCTCTCCTGTACCGCCAGGAAGAGAATCATGCTGAACAGGAGCCTCATCATCTTCCCGGACGACCGTCCGTCGATTCGTCTCCGAGCTCCCTGCCTCGTTTCCCGATCCGGTGGACCATCGAGGTAGTGGTCGAGCGTCAACTCTCCGAACAGAACCTTCCAATAGAAATAGGAAGAAAGAATGTCGGCAGGCAGGGAGCGGTGAACGATTTGCACTTGCCAACGATGTCGACTGTGAGCGAGGGGAAAATTGCGAGGTTGAGTACTCTAAGTCGGGGTCGACTGTATGCACGTTCGAATGTCGTTCAATGGTCCGGCCTAAAATCGTGTGGCTGACGACTCCCTGATTCCGTGACATCCAACGATGAAGTTCTGCCGGACAGCGTTTCCGCCGAACGAGGCTCCCACTTCCACCATGATCGGATGTGAGGAGACAGAGAGACCGAGATTGCGGGACCAAATGAGTCGCTTAATAGATATGAGCCACGGGCAGACGGACTCTCGAGCCATCTGTTTGGGGCTTTATTACTCGCGTGTGGCCACCGAGGGAATGTTCGTCGCATACTTGTCACGGGTTTTTGTGCTCTCGGAGCGAGCGTCTCCTCGGAGAGCCTCGAAAGTCGGTAGCAAGAGATTTCAGAACATCTCAGATCTCGAGCGTGCGCAATAAGTAATCGTAAGCGATTCTGTGCCTTCCATTGTTCAGATCTGGGATGATACTCTGCTCGATACTCGGCTCATCCGCTTTCTCCAACGCCTCATTTGTGGATATAGATCGCGGAATGCGAGCAAGACATGCTGACTCCGTCGACGCAAGCGTACGAGGTTGAAGAGTTCACTTGGAACACGCATTCTCCATTTGTTCTCGTTCACAAGAGCCCGGAACTCGTTCGTCCCGACCCCCGACATCTCGTCTAACGTCCCAGGAAAGCGCGGAAACTTGCTGGGAGCGTTCGATTTTATTCGGCGCTCAAACGTTGGAACCGACTTGGTAGATAGCTAGCTCGTGGAAAAAATTATTCAACCACGTATTCGAGGAAAACCTCGCTCCGATTTCGACGCCAGCCTCACACAACGCGACTTGCTCTAGGCGTAAAAAACCATCATCATCGTTCGGGAGAGGCAGGAGAAGAGAAAAAGGATAACGCCTATGACCATCAGTCTGTCTAATCCCCCCGTTTGGTCGGAGCGCTGCCGTATCTGTCGCTACGAGGATGGCGAATACATACATACACCGGTGGTCTATTAGGAGTGACCACTAGTCGGAGCGGCATTGATCGTATTGATCTACGACATTAAGAAAAGACGCACGCATCCCAAAACTCAGGAGGTCCGGGGCACGGAGTGAGTTCTGAATGTTTTGACTCCGCCATGCAGTGTCCCCGGTTTGATTTCGCGGATGGATGAAGCGGAACGATCAGATTCTGGTTTTCAAAAGTCAGAGAAAGCCGCGCACGATCCCTCCCTGATCAGAACTCCGTCGACTTAAAATTCAATACTCGCCGGTCCCGCCGGAGCAGCGGCAACTCTCTTGGGGTTCCCATTCGGAAGTGTTCTCTGCGTACCGATCAATCATTTGCCGAGCATTCCATCCTTCAACACCGACATCGCCGCACCTCCGAAGGATTGGAACCCTGAGGAGCGATTTCGAATTGGCCGGATTAAACAGTTCACTGAGATAATTGAGTTGTCGACGAAATTGAGAAACGCATCACAGGATTCGAGTGCCTAAGAGTGTTTGATCGAGCGGAACAGTTTCGGAGCTCATCCGGCCATATTCACTCGATCCGGGATTTATTCTGAATGTTCTGGCTGTAATTATCCAGGAAAATCGTTCTACAGGTGATCGGTACATCCGAGTGTTCCGTCGCGGCCTCCAGCATCCCTTTCCGAATAGATTGCTCTGTGTCTGCTCGAAAAAACGCAACCCGGCACCGCGATCGCATCCTTAACAATTTACGCAGACTCAGCGGTAACTCACCGATCTTCAAAGCGGCTTCAGTTCTCACTGCCAAGAGGAAAACGGCGACTAACAACATAGTGGAGCTTCGGAGGTTGAGCATCTTGTTCGATTCAGGCGGCCATAGCGTCCCTAGTATGGAAAGGAAGAGAATCACACACTAAACGCACTCGTCTTAGCGATCCCAAACGCACCGCCGTTCTAAACGTCACTGGGCTTCACTGGTCAAACGCCAAATCAATCTAAATGTGTCAAATGATTGGCGAAACACTGAAGACTTCGCAAGCCGATGCTGCCGCGGGTGTGGCAGAAGCCGAGATGGCTGGGACCTAAACACTGGGGCGAAAGGACGACTCCCCAGGCTCCCGTCTCCTCTCTCTCCCCCGATGAGAAATCGGGCTCTCTTCCCGACTGAGTTTCATTCTCCTGCGGGGAATGTCTGCCGCCGCTGCAGTGGCCGCAGCAGCGGCGGCGGTCGCTCGGCTCACAGCGCTGCGCTGTCAGGATGGGTGGCTTTGGTTCGCGGGTAGCTCTGTCGGTTCTCTGCTTGTTCACAAGGCGAGAGAGCAAATAACACGTTCACGGGGACATACGAAACAAATCGTCGAGCCGCTACGGAATCGGAGTTCTTCGCGAGCACCTCGGGAAGCGGAACCATATTAACTGTTTTGCTAGAAATACACGTACATATGTATTTTTTCGTACGGAAGTTTTCCGTACGAAGTTTCAACGCGCGCGGATCCCCTCCAAGACGTCGGTTTCCCGACACAAGTGGGAGGCTCCCTATTCAGAACCCCGCGCATGATTCGGTGCCGCACATGGACCCTTTACGATATGATTCACCAAATCGCAAATGCATATTATGGTTCTTCGGTTCCATCACCATATGATATTTATTCCATCGCCCAATCCTTATCGGGTGTGGACTTCACGATGACAGCCGAGAATCCCAACGCCGGCTACTCTGATGGCATCAAAAACAGTTTTCTCGGTTTGCCCTGTGACCTGCAGAGACTTCGGAAGTGCACCAGGGAGTGGCTTCCTCCCTGTCACGGATCAATCATCTGCTGACGATCACCTGATTGAAAGCTCTGTCAAAGTGTTTTCCTTTGGAGTATCGAATCCATCGAGTCGCTCCCTTGTAGAGCGCGACAAATCGACCTGGACCGCGTTCACCGAGACGTAAAACTGCATTATGTATCTGAATCTGACGACTCCGATCAGCACTCGCGATCTACCTCGATGCTCTCAAAATAGGAAATCCCTTCCGATACGAAATCCCTCGCCGCAGTCCGGGACCGCTCGTGAAATTGATTTGGCTCCCGTTCTCCCAGAATGTATATGCGTCGAGCGTTGGAGCAAGGTATCTTCCCTCGATCACCCTCCTCGTGATTTGGTCAGCCACCGGTCGGTCTCGCTCTCTGCCGATCAAGTTCCCCATGTCTTCGAATCAAAGCTGATAAATAGGATATTTTTGTGCCATGATCGCGTCGCTCAGCGATCTCGGATTACGAGGAGGCCTAAAGCTCTGAACTCGGTCTTCAGATGCGCAGAGATTTACCGCATCCGAAGGGTCTCGAATTCGCAACCAGAGGGCATGTCACGCGGTGAAAAACAGACACACGGCAAAGGCACAAGCGATTCCTCGCGAGTCCCGGGCCTTGTCCTCAATTATGAACCTGACTCGAGACAGTCGAGGCATCTCTGATGATTGCGAACCAGTCTCGCCGACACGAATGCAACCGCGTCTCCGTGAGATTCGCTTCTACACCCGCATGTATGTACACTCATCGTCGGTCAGAGCGATCTCACTCTTGGAGCTCACGCTTGGGGCGAGTTTTCCCTCCACCCATAAGAAATGATCTAAAAACGAAGTTTAGCCATGACAGCGGCTACCGCGAGTCCCCAACAGCTGTCAGAGCGACTTGTTCTTATCGCTCTTGGCTCAGTCATCCTCGCTCATCTGGTCTGCGCAAGCGAAAGGGGCCCATCACGGAATAAGATTCCACCAACAGGCAAACATTGGTGCTTGGTTTCACAGTCGGATATCGTTCGGTTGAACATGCTCGCAAAGCGCGAGCCCTTGCTATGTGGACGGAGAATCGTCCCAGACGGGAGGATGACTTTCGGAGATTTTCTGACACAGCAATGGAAATGCCGCTTCGGAGGAGCAGCTGGGCGAACTTCATGTCTAGTCCTGAGGAGACTGCCGACAAAAAGCCAATTCTTCTTCATTGTGCTTATACCCTGTCTCTTCTCAATGCTGTCTCTGTCGGTTCTTGTGATGCTCAGTAAACTGAGCAGAATCAGAGACCTGGATAGAGAATTACGAGAAGCCTCGTGGCGTTTAGGATGATTATCCTTCTGCCTCCATCAAGGCCTTCCGCCAGCGACGAATCAAGACAGGCTATGAGAAAGTCTGGGAATTGTTCAAGATAAAAATCATTCGTTCCAACGCGATTCGGCCCACTTCCAAAATCCAGCCGGAATCCAGCCGAGAATATTCCGGCAACGTGGTAGAGTTTTACGCATCGAGGTGTGATCATTGGATCAGATGATTTTTTCGAGATCGCAGAAATCATTATCTTGTCGAGTCCATTCCGATCTGCAAGTAGTTGAGCTCGGCACCGCTCAAGCCAGCTGACCATCCGTCAGTACCATTGCACCCGTAGAATGGGGGACGTATGTCTGTGACCTCAGAATGTTCTTGAACTTATAGCCACGGGATGAATTTACTTCGTTAGAGTTGAAAGTCTGAGCACAATAAAGGCCACGTTGTGCGTTCCTGAATGGAGGATCAAACGAGTCCCAGGGCGGAAGACAAAGCGTCGGCTTGACACAATAAGGCTCAGGGACGCGTTGTCAACTAACTAATAAGTCGAAGGGCAGAAATAATGGCGGATTCTACATAGAGTGACTTTCCCCCACACGGCTGCGGTTCCCGCTGAATCTCGGGGCTCCTCCTTAGGGAATAACCTCTCGAACCGCAATTCCGAGAGCATTTTTCCTTCTCGAACTATCGGTCACTCAGTGCTCCGATGCTGAGACCGATGTTCATACGACGGTGACGACGCTCCTTAAGTGGACAGGGGGAACCGCTGCCAAAAACATCTGCCTGGCTCCGCCAATCTGTGACTGGAGGAGCTTCCTCGATCATCTTGAGCTGAATATCCTGTACCTACCTCGACTCGACGTGATTCAGAAAGATGGCCGACGCACGCCTCCCCTACGTGACCGATCCTCGCTCTCCATGACGGAAATCCAACCTCGCCGGCAGAGAAGCGTTCTCTTCATTTGTGAATCGGAGATCTGGAAGGGGGAAGTTCCAAGAAATTATCCCGTCATGTGTTGGGGATAGGAGAGAGGAAGCGAACCCTCTATTCATCGAGGGAATGCGCTGGCAGCTGTAAGGAAGGTCGCGCTGAAAACAACATCGGAAAGGCAATCTATCGCGACGAGCTCCTTAGCTTTCCATGGATGCTTCGCTCGCAAGACGATCGCGTCAGTTCTATGGCTTCTCCCAAGAAGATCTCATGGCTCGGATTCCGTGCGGGATCAGCGATGGCACACACGTATCCAGCAGTCGGCAGAACAGTCCGGGATCCAGATTACCGAACGCGAGCAGAGCCCGATCTCGGAAGTCCGACGCGGTTCCCTTTCAGAAAGTATGCTGTTTGAGGGTGGAGAGTTAATCAAGGCTCGAGCGCCTCCGACATCGACCAATTAGGCTTCCCTGAAAGCGTCACGGATGCTCGATGATGTGAGCTTGGTGGCCGATTGACTCCGAGGTAAAGAGGAATATCGAATCGCAGAATCCTCTGATGAGCGGGAGAGCTGGAGTGGGAAGGAAACATGATGATCCTGATCCTACGTGATTTTCGATCCTGACAATCCAGGAACGGAGACTCCCCGGTCCGAGATTGCATGAGTATTGTATCGTTCGAGTGTTGTGTCGTCACGGAAGTTGGACGTGGAGCCATCCACATCTCAAAGAAGCACTTCTCTTCCACTAAATTTTGTCGCGATCGTTTCATGACAACAGTCAAAAGTCGCTCAAGCCAACGGAAATTGCCATCGAGTCGTGCTTTCGATTGATCATCATGTCTCGTCAAGGGAGCTTCCGAATATGTTCCCGGGGGCAAGGTCGATAGAGAAGAGAGGGCGTAAGCATGCAGCGAAGACCTTCTCCAGGCAACAAAAGCTCATCGATGAGGCCTGGCGAAGCGTCCCGATCCGAGTTAAGCTACTTTGAATCGACCGGAAGTTCGTCACTTCGGAGAACTAATGTCAAGTGTCGTGAGGATCAGATGGCGGGTCTCTTGGCATTCTCTGATGATGTTCCCGGAGCGGCTGGCCCCTCAGGGGGCTGCGACCTACGTGGCGCTGCGGGTGCTAGTCTTTCTGATGAGGAGTTGGGCAATACGATCGATACATCGACTTGAGCTTCCGTATGCTTGGAGTCGGAGGAGTTATGACCGGAATCGAGCACCCGACCAGCGCGAATCGCATGCCTATCTGTGTATCACCTACGCGAAGCTCTGTAGCTCACGACCTCACAGCGGAAACCCCCAGCTTGCTCCCACGAGTGATTCGATCGAGGAACCATCGTTGATCGGATTGAATAGTGATTCTTATGACATTCGTTTGGCAACAATTTGTTGCCTCCGGTTTAGTTCGTATAGGGTTTCGCGAGGTTTGAAGCTTGGAATGGAGGAGCAGTCTTTAATTGATTATCTTAAACCACGAGTTCTCGCTTGAGAACGATGGCATCCCCGGTTCCCGTATTCTAGAACAATTCACTTGCAATACATTAGGAAGGTTCTCCCTCAAGCCTTATAAGATTTTCTGAAACAGAACTCTGTCTCCTGGTCGGTCACCGTGGGTTGGTGGCCGAGTTCTATGTGAGAACATTTGTCATCCAATTTACGCCTAGGAATTGAGATGCCGGACGCGCTCACCTCCCGTTCTCGCCGATCTTCGACCTTCCGGGAGATGAGCTCGACACCGCAGCCGAGTTTTGGTCCAGGCTTTTTAGCTTGATTCGACCCTTTGATTCGCCGACAAGGCTGTGCGAATGCG